TATAGGGGTGCTCCGATCAGGGTTTTTGAGGCCGATCACCGATAGCAGTATCTGCCAATACCGATCTTTTTTAATAATTTATAACTATTTATAGTGATACACCAATCAGGATTTTTAGACATTTATTCAGGGCCTGAATTTCATTTTTTTAAATGGGGGGAATTCCCCTCTAGGTGATTCTTGTGAGAGGGGAAGCAGCACGGACTGTGCTTTCACACAGAAGTCTGCTACTGATCCTTGGCTGTTTACCACAAACACAACATTTATCCATTATGTTGATTTCAAATTTAAACATTGTCACTGAAAATGCTTTTTCAGCATTGCAATTCTTTTTTTTTTTTACACAGTACAGTAATACACAGACATGTTTAAACAATAAATATAAACAACACATTATTCAATGCTTTTTACTTTTGCATTTACTTATATCATTTATATATCAAGTTGCTCAAGCAAGTGGCAAAACATTTAAACTTCCTTTCTTACGTTATCACAAACTTACCATTGACAGAAATAGTCAGCTCTACTGAAAGGTTCCTTTTGCATTGAAATCTTTATTACAAGCAATCCTGTGGTTCATAAAGAACTTTCCTACCTCCACGAGTGCCATCTATTATCTACTAAAAGTGCTCTTTTCCTTTAAACCTAGCCAAAAAGCCATATGTGTTGATTGTGAAACACAGTAGACTTTAATAATATGCATTGATGGTGTAATTACTACATTTTCGTGTCAATCCATGTTCATATTTACTGCAAACAATGCGCTGTTACTTTAATTCAGCGCTTGCAGCGCAGCAATAGACTCGGTGTGGAAATGATCTCTGCACTGCTGCAGACACACGCTACTGGAATGCACTGCCGGACCGCAACCGTGTGCAGTGTGCATGCTTTATTAATCTGTTAACATGAGCGCAGAAAAATTACACACCACATACGCACTGCAAACGGAGTAATGTGAACCTGGCATTGTGTGTGTACGCTGCTAGTGTGCATGAGCGCACGGTCTTCAGGAGAGCGAGCGCTGAATGGTTAAACACTGGCAAGAATTAAAATGTAATGCAATTTATAAACTTGAGTGACGATGTAACACTGCCTCGATAGTGCAAGTGACAATTCCTGTGTCAGCTGTGCAGCTCGCTTATAGTGCAGACGCGATGTGTGGTGATTTGAAGCTATTTGTGTATTTTGAGAGAGAAAGAGTGAGAGCACGCGCGGTGATTCACTCACGCTGTTTGTGAAATTACGTCTCACACAAGGTTTAAAAATTACTTTATAAGTTATTTAATGAAGAAATATGAAGGCGAGTACCTCACCTTCAGCATTATAATTATTTCACCCGCGCCGGACAGAGACTGAGACGGTGCTGCTGTCGTGCCAAACCTCTCATGGCAGGTGTATCATCAGCTTGAGATCGTTTTTTTGAGATCTGCCTTTTTAGAGACCTCCGATCAATCATCCCAACGTGATTATCGGCCGATAGTGATCGGTAGCCGATCAATCGGAGCACCCCTAATAATATACGCAGATGGGAGAAATCTAGAGAAGGATAAATATCACTGCAACACTCCACCGATCTGGGCTTTATGTCGGAGTGGCCAGACTCAATCTTCTCCTCAGTGAAGACACATGAAAACACACTTGGATTTTGCATTAAAAACACCTAAAGGACTCTCAGACTCTGAGAAACAAGAGTCTCTGGTCTGATGAACCTCAATTCCAAGCATCATGTTTGAAGGAAACCAGCTCCACTCATCACCTGCAGCGTACCACCCCAAAAGTAAAGTGTGCTGGTAGCAGCCTCATGCTGTGGAGCTGTTTTTCAGCGGCAGGGACCGAGGGACTCATCAGAGTAGAAGATAAGCTCAATGCACCAAAATATTGAGTTAGCCTTAATGAAAACCCAGTCCAGAGCATTCAGAACCGCAGACTGGGCAGAAGGCTCACCTTCCAACAGGACAATGACCGTAAGCACACAGCAAGAGTGGCTTACAGACAACTCTGTGAATGTCCTTGAGTGGCCCAGCAAGAGCATGAGCTTGAACCCAATCAAATAATTCTGGAGAAACTTGAAAATGTGCAATTGCTCCCATCCAACCTGACAGAGCTTGAGAGGTGAAGAGGTGAGGAGAAGAATGGCAGATAATTGCCAAATGATGATGATCAAAGCTTGTCGCATTAAGCAAAAAAAAGACTTGAGACTGTAAAGGTGCTTCAGCGAAATATTTAGTTAAGGGTATGAATATTTATTTCAGTTTTTTTATTTTTAATAAATTTACCTAGTAGTGACAATTCTGTTTTTGCTCTGTCAGTATGGTGTATGGATTGATTAATTGAAAGCAATTTAACATAAGGCAGCAACATAGCAAAATGTGAAAAAATGAATGGGGTATGAATACTTTCGCAAGGCACTGTACATGACGTTGCATGTTCTAATGCACTGCAATTTTTAATGGTTATTTTTAAAGAATCTGTCTGTTGCATTCATTTGTGCTTCGTCTTTATTATGCTTGATTTATTAAAAAGTTGTAGGAAGTTCGTACACATATTCCCAATTACAATTCTTGAAAAATAGCTTGACTATATGGCGATTTTTGATGAAAATTCACTGATCACTTCAAATGCTGACATTTACGTGCGCACATTATTTTTGCCATGACTAGCTTGACAGGAATTGTTGCATTTATTTTAGGAATGTGCATCTCCATAATTGAGGCCGATGTGATTAGCCTACGATACTACAAGTTCTCAAATATTTCCTTAAAAATCTTATTTTTTTTATTAAGAAGAAAATGGCATCATCTGATTATATGATGATTCTTAATTTATAAAAGAAGAATATTATTCTTAAGAATGTTTCGTGAATCCAGCCCTAGTAGACTCATTTATGATGTTTCTTTCCTACAGGATCACGGTGCTGATGAATGTGTGTAGGACTGGATCAGTCATGGCGGTTGGGTTTGCTTTTGTTGGTGTACCTGTTGGAAGCTCTCTCGCAGGTGGCTCTGGTCCTCCGGGTGGCAGAACTCCAAAATGTCTTTGCCAAGAAGATCCTGTTCAAACCCAAGAAAAGGAACAGTCATATGAACGCTTGATACAAACTCTTTGTACTTGTTAAACAGAGCACAGACAGCATCAGGGTCATAATGAATAATAACTGGAAAATGTTGACTATTTCAAGAATAAACCTCCATATTCTCTATTATTCAGAAAACAGCCTGCCTGACTTGTCATGAATCTGTGATTGAAGTCATATCTGAACTAAACAAACAGGGCAAAAATATCATCAATACATTGTTTTAGCTACTGTGCATTAAAGGTGCAGTATGTAATATTGACAGATGTCGGTAGAAATGGATACTGCAGTCTAAACAAAATATTGGAGAGAATTGTTTCTCCCAACCCTCCTCCTCAGACTCGAGGCTCAAATGGGTTGCCAGATTGAGGACACGCAACAGGAATGAGAGCAACTGACAACGGATGGCGACAAGCCTTACACTGTAAGCTGATGAGTTGCTCTATCTGCATTTTAATATGCCTCTGGTCATAGAGATCTTTAAATGGATGCGGAGGCTTTTTTCGTTGCAATTTCTGACCCAGTTTATTTCCATGGCTGCAATATGCTGTGTTTTCTGACAACTGGCAACCCGGGGTGTCGAAATACTATTGGTTAAATTGGCAGTGGAATCACACAGACAAAAACAAAAACAGACATTCCGACATGGAATGAACATTTCAAAGTAGAATAACTGTCTGTTGCATTGTTTTTCGAAGAAACACGTTTGTGAACTTAGCATGTTTCCTAAATATCGGCAAACATATGGAAATTTTATGCTGTAGTACAGTTAAAAAAATGACATATAACACATTTAATATAAAGCTGCACATTCAGTGAAACTGACCTGAGGCTGATAGCCAATCACGTTGATGCAACGAGGGTCAACAAAAGTGATGATGCCATCTGAGTTGTGGCGGGAAAGGAACTCCGTCGGCACAGAGAGTCCGTTCATATCCATGGAAACTGGTGAGCTGGTCACCTGAGAGATGAGATAAAGGGATTTTTTGTGGTCAGGATGCTCAAACAAATAGATGCATGTTTTGTAGTGCCGCGCTATCATGGGATTGTGGAAGAATTAGTAACAACTGTCTATGCACATTAAGATGTGGGAAGGTATTTATTGAATAAAAATCACATTTAAATGCTAGACATATCAAAAAGACATGAACTAGACACATTTTGAAACATTAAGCATCCAAAAGTTGCAGAAGTTGTAATGGTTTCTGCAGTGAGTTTGTTATTCGAGAGCTGACAAGGTACTTTTTTATAATGATAGATGAATTAAGTTCCCAGAAATATGTGACAAGAAATATGAATAAGTTAAGGTAAAGGACAGGCTCAACATATCCTAATACATCTTCTGTCCAGAGTTTGCCTGCATGTGCACAACAACTCCAGGAGATGTGGGTTCTTGCTAGGAGGTTGCTATGCAGTGGTTTTAACGTTATGTCCACTAGGGTGTTGAGGAAGCTTACTAATATGTTGCTATGCAGTTGCTAGGGTGTTCTGAATGGTTACTAGCCTGTTGATATGTGGTTGCTAAGGTGTTTTAGTTGCTAGAATGTTGCCATGTGGTTTCTAAGGCATTGTAGTTGTTAGAATGTTACCATGCGGTTGCTAGGGTGTTCTAGTTGTTAGAATGCTGCCATTAATAGGGTGATTTTTAAGTAAATAAAAAAAAAAGAAAGATTTTTTTTTTGGAATGTTGCCATGCAGTTGCTAGGTTGTTAGAATGTTGCCATGCGGTTACTAGGGTGTTTCATTGTTAGAATGTTGCCATGTGGTTACTAGGGTGTTTCGTTGTTAGAATATTGTCATGCAGTTGCTAGGGTGTTCTAGTTGTCAGAATGTTGCCATGCGGTTACTAGGGTGTTTCGTTGTTAGAATATTGTCATGCAGTTGCTAGGGTGCTATAGTTGTTAGAATATTGCCATGCGGTTGCTAAGGTGTTCAAGTTGTTAGAATGTTGCCATGCAGTTGCTAAGGTGTTCTAGTTGTTAGAATGTTGCCATGAAGTTGCTAGGGTGCTCTAGCTGTTAGAATGTTGCCATGTAGTTTCTAAGGTGTTATAGTTGTTAGAATGTTGCCATGCGGTTGCTAAGGTGTTCTAGTTGGTAGAATGTTGTTGCCATGAAGTTGCTAGGGTGCTCTAGCTGTTAGAATGTTGCCATGCAGTTTCTAAGGTATTCTAGTCGTTCAAATGTAGCCATGCAGTTGCTAGGGTGTTCTAGTTGTTAGAATGTAGCCATGCAGTTGCTAAGGCATTTAAGTTGTTAGAATGTTGCCATGCAGTTGCTAAGGTGTTCTAGTTGTTAGAATGTTGTCATGAAGTTACTAGGGTGCTCTAGCTGTTAGAATGTTGCCATGCAGTTTCTAAGGTGTTCTAGATGTTAGAATGTAACCATAAGGTTACTAGGATTTTCTAGTTGTTAGAATGTTGCTATGTGGTAGCTAGGGTTTTCTTAAAAACTGCTATGGTGTTCTGCTTGGTTGCTCAAATGTTACTATACAGTTGCTATAATGTTCCAGGGAGTTGCAAGCATGTTGTCATGCAGTTGCTAATTTTGTTGCCATATACATCAGAGATCCAGACATACCTGCAGTCTTCCAATCGCAACCAAGCAGTATTTGCTGGTTTGACCTGCTTCCGTGTCTTCATCCGGAATGGTCATGCCTGGAAAAGACACAAGAACAGTCATTTGTCCGAACAGCAGACTGAAAACATGTGGAGATCCCGATGACTAACATGTTTATTCCTACATCATTTCTAATGAGACGCTCTGTTGCAACAGTACACAAAGACCTGTTTGGGAATCTTTGCGCAAAAATGTGCTTTCGATCCCACTAATAGCATCTTCTCAATATTTTTGTCTACGTCTCCCTGACTCATCAGGAGTTTGTTCATGCATAATGATTTATTTTAGTCGTCTAAAACCAGTAGCAAAGTGGTTATTGTTCCTGGACGTTGTCGTGCCGTGTTTATGTGGAGTATACGGGACATGAAGTCAGGCAGATGGGAATCAGGGCGGAGGAGCGATTCCTGTCCTGGAGTTTAAGCAGGAACATGAAGCGTTTACTCTCTTTTTAATTACATTAACGATTTCTCGTTGACACACTTCCTTCTTTGCCTTGACCTCATTATGGTTGGCGGCTAAAAAGCTTTTCAGCATACAATGATCTTTGTGAATGACTCAAAGAAGAGAAAAACAAATGAGGAATAGAAAATAAAAGAAATACTAGACTCTCACAATTTATAAGAACTGCTATAAAAAGCTGTATCTGTTTTTATTATACATTTTTCATATTAGATTACGTTATTTTCAACTTACTTTATCCTTAAAATATGTTTTACAATACAAAAGAAATTGGCTCAACCAATCATGTGAGTGAGGGGTGGGGCTATTAGCTTGCTCAGCCAATAAAGTGCAACAGTCCCAGAAGTAAAATATCCTATTCATTTTCTCCATAGAGGAATTTATTTTGAAAGATAACTTTTAAAAACAGACCTACTCTGATCTCAGACATTGTTAATTGATAGTTTATGCTTTTATTGAAGCCATCAGCCCACATCATTTCAACCTATTTACAGAATCATGTGTAACAGCTGAATTCCTGGTGAAAAACTACATTATCCATGATTCTGCAGCGATATCGCCACCAATCAAAGAACTGTGTCAAGCAAAACATGCCAAAAGAACACTTTTTCCTATTCCCTCAAACTACTTACTTTGCATTAACATAAAATATATTGATTCCCTATATATAAAATCAACATTTTTTAATTAATAGAGTTTATATTTTTCCATCATTTCTATCGATGTCATTCACAATGCTTCATGGGATTGTAGTTCTTTCCCTTCCTTTATGAAAGCTTGTATACAGTCTTGTACCTTTGTCTTTTTGTCTGGTTTTTGAATACTTTTTTTGCTTCAATTCAAGGTTTATAATGTTGCTATTCACCTAATAAATGGTTGGTTTGGTTCATAACTATTTAACAAAGATTTTTTTATAAAGCCCTATGGGAAAAATGAATGAGAAAAATACACCCGGAAACAAGGCCACTGAAAAAAACTTTCACTCTATTGCAGACTGACTTCTCAAGGTTAAACTGATTCAAACCAGTAACTTTTGAGTCTTTTTGACCAATTCATTTAAAGAATCGCTTCATAAGACTCAATACTTGTCGTTCTGTATACAAACCCGATTCCAAAAAAGTTGGGACACTGTACAAATTGTGAATAAAAACAGAATGCAATGATGTGGAAGTTTCAAATTTCAGTATTTTATTCAGAATACAACATAGATGACATATCAAATGTTTAAACTGAGAAAATTTATAATTTTAAGGGAAAAATAAGTTGATTTTAAATTTCATGGTATCAACACATCTCAAAAAAGTTGGGACAAGGTCATGTTTACCACTGTGTGGCACCCCTCTTCTTTTTATAACAGTCTGCAAACGTCTGGGGACTGAGGAGACAAGTTGCTCAAGTTGAGGAATAGGAATGTTGTCCCATTCTTGTCTAATACAGGCTTCTAGTTGCTCAACTGTCTTAGGTCTTCTTTGTCGCATCTTCCTCTTTATGATGTGCCAAATGTTTTCTATGGGTGAAGTGCCGTCTAAAGGCCCGAAGATCACAGGCATCCAGTATGGTTTTCCGGCCTTGACCCTTACGCACAGAGATTGTTCCAGATTCTCTGAATCTTTGGATGATATTATGCACTGTAGATGATGATAACTTCAAACTCTTTGCAATTTTTCTCTGAGAAACTCCTTTCTGATATTGCTCCACTATTTTTCGCCGCAGCATTGGGGGAATTGGTGATCCTCTGCCCATCTTGACTTCTGAGAGACACTGCCACTCTGAGAGGCTCTTTTTATACCCAATCATGTTGCCAATTGACCTAATAAGTTGCAAATTGGTCCTCCAGCTGTTCCTTATATGTACATTTAACTTTTCCGGCCTCTTATTGCTACCTGTCCCAACTTTTTTGGAATGTGTAGCTCTCATGAAATCCAAAATGAGCCAATATTTGGCATGACATTTCAAAATGTCTCACTTTCAACATTTGATATGTTATCTATATTCTATTGTGAATAAAATATAAGTTTATGAGATTTGTAAATTATTCCATTCCTTTTTTACTCACAATTTGTACAGTGTCCCAACTTTTTTGGAATTGGGTTTGTATTTCTTTTCATACATCCAGCAAATATATGCAGTACAGAATAATATAAATACAGAATAGAGAGACATCTGGTCAATTTATTGTCTCATTGTCATTATTTCATGGTCTGTTCCCACGTTCACACTGCAAACTGTCACCTCAAGTAAAATACAACTCAATTCATCAGCGGCGCATGGCTGTGCAGGGAACACTAGTTCGCAAAATTAAATAACTGTGTGCTACAAATAAACAGGAACGGTATATATATCACAGCATAAATGACACATTCAGGGGAAAAAAAATTCTCTGCAAACAGGCTGTATACTATGGACAGATGCACCGATGGTTTGAATTAATTTACTGCCTTTAATTTGCACAAACTGACATTATACAAGCAGACAGAATTCATTTGGTCGCATATCAAAGTAATAAAGAGCACATAAAGACTTGTGTTTGTTTTGCAAACGCTATGAAACTGATCGATAATGCATATCAGGGCCATCTGGTGTGGACAGAGCGCTTCCTAACCGTTAATGCACTGATTACCATTCAGCGTGATGAAAACGATACGAGATGTCTTCGTTTAGATTACCGCATTCCAGTATGACACCATAATGGCTGACAATCAAGCGTTGCTGGTTATTTTTATCCTTACTTTGTGCCATTATGCAACAAACAGGATGTCCAGCATGTGCGATTAATTTTTACGTCACACACATATGTTGGAGACGCGCTCGGAGAATACCTGGACAACCTCCAGTAAAGATATGAGGCTAAAAGTTCAGGTTTTTGAGTTCAGGGTTGCTCAATTCTCTGTCCATTTCTTCCTTTCTCACTGCACACATGCTGTTGTGCTAACAGGAATCACAGGCCAGGGGGGATCTAGCGTGCCGGTGTCATATGGGAGTCATCCAAAACTCCAGACAGTTCTGCGGACTGAAGGATTCTAACGGAATTTAACACCGAATTCCAGAGTTCTGGTAGTTCAAGAAGTTCAAACACATGTTCCAAACAACTAGTTCCATTAGACTTCAGAATGCAAGTTGTAGGTTTCATTAAGCAAAATGCATCCATAATATTGCTACTCTTTATTTTTACTCAGATACTGAGTAAAAAAAATAAGTTAATATCAACAAGCGGAACCTTGTTGTAAAAAGTTACTGATAGAAAAAATTAACTGGTTCCTCTGAATCATTTGCATCAGTACATGTTGATGCTGAATGTAAGTTAAAGGGATAATTCACCCAAAAACGAAAACTGTCGATATTTATTCACTGTCATGATGCTCAAAACCCATAAGATGTCGGTTAGATTTTGAAACACAAATTAAGATTTTAATGAAGCCTGAGGTCCAGAATCAATGAGCACAGGACGCATGGATGAGCTTTGGTGTTTACTAGGGATGCACCAGTATCGGTATCGGGCCCGATACTGAGCTCCTGTACTCGTACTCGTTAAAATGACCCGATACCATACAGCATGTGATAAGTGCCATATTCAGACAAAGAAACACTGACAACAGACAGCAGAATGGAGTTATTAGAGATTAAGGATGTCTACAAAGTATATGTATGCAATGAATATAAAACATTCAGTATTAACGCCTGTATAGCTGATTTGCGCCAGCTGATAAGCAAATCACGCTAAGTGGATTGAGCGCGCAGCGGCGCAGATGCGCGAGCTTGTCGAGTGAATATCCCTTTCTCACAGACATCACTGGAAAGTATGTAGTTCGGTCGGATATGTCAAAAAGAATTAAGTAAAACAATGCACAAGTTACTTAATGGTAGGGAGGGAGGGAGAGAGAGCGTGCACTTCTATTGTATGATCGTTATTGATGTTCGCTCACTGAGCACGCATCATTTGGATTACTAAATCGTAAATATAAGACAATTTATAGGGGCATTCACTATAAACGTCATTTATTTTCGCCCTTAAGCATGCACGACTTTCTGGTAAAAGTGAAACTAGCAGCCTGTGTGAAATGCGCTAGGCTGTACTTTACTTGTCCCTCTCATTCTGCACCAGTACAAATATGTGCACGCGTTGTGGGTTTTGCTTGCTTCATGAGTGTTTCAGTTCAAATATCACAGTTAGGAGATTTATAGCGAGTGGTTCCCTGCATTTTTACAGCAAATCGCGTGATTACAGTACTAAGCCGCTGCAATGGAGCAGCTCTAATGCTATTAAAGGGGTCATATGATACTTTTTTAAAGATCATTATTTTGTGTATTTGGTGTAACAGAATATGTTGACATGCTTTAATGTCCAAAAAACACATTATTTTTCAAATACTGTACATTATTGTAGGTCCTCTATGCCCCGCCTCTCTCAAACGCTTCGTTTTCTACAAAGTCCCTCCTTCCGACAAGCGCAGTCTGCTCTCATTGGCCAGCTGACCCAGTGCATTGTGATTGGCCGAACACCGCAAGCACTCGTCGGAAATGTAACGCCCTTACCATAATCGCCAGCTTCATCTTTCAAAATAAATGTAAAGACAGAGCCCGAAAGGGGAACAGAGTCGCGTGACAGACATAGTGATGAAGCTGGTCTCTCTCGCTCTCTCTCTCTTTCACACACACACATACGCGCGCGCGCGCACGCACGCACACGATGCGCAAAACTCCGCATTTGAACAGTCAATAGCAAATACTTAATACCTAGATATGTGGGGGCGTGTTAGAACGAGCCGTTTTAGGGGGGCGTGGCAGAGTCTTAACTTTGATAAAGAATATCTCTTTGGTTTTGAGACTTTAGTCTTTGCAACTTCAGGGATCTTATCTATGCACAATCAGCTTGTAACACTCCAAAGAGAAAGGAAAACTTGAAAACGCATCATATGACCCCTTTAAATTAAAGATGATGTAGGCTACCATAGAGAGAAAAAAAATGAACAGTGAAAGTAACAAAAACTTGTAAAATACATTTTAATGGGCATAATTAAGTGTGAAAATAACAGAAGGATATACAGTCAAACCAAAAATTATTCAGAGACCAGATATAATTTTTGATATTTTTTTACTAGTGGGTGCAAGACACTATAGTTAATTTATGTAAAATGAGGGTAGCAAAATAAACTAAACTGTGATATATTATACACAAAAATTCTTCATACAATGAACTACCAGTAAAATTGATACAATTTTGGGACCGAAAATTTTTCAGACCGAGTCTGGGAAAAAATTGTTCAGATTTGCATGAACCCTGATGACAGCATGCCCAGGAGACTATATGCTGTCATTAAGGCTAAGGGTCACCCGACAAAGTATTGATAGTTGTGTAAATATTGACAGCTGTATGAATAATTTTTGGTTTATTGAAATCCATTACATACCTTTCTATCAAAGTTATCTGACATCATCAAGCTGAATTTGTTCTGACACAGTTTAACTGAGTTCTTGTCATATTTTATTACCATTTTCTAAACTATAGCGAATAAACTGTGATAATGTGAGAAAGGTTGAAGGTGTCTGAATAAATTTTGGTTTGACTGTATCTATTTGATAAATGAAGTTAACGAACTAACATTATACATACTCTTTTGGTTTCTGTACCCAATATTAAAAAAATTTACAAATGCAATGAAAATATTGGTCTCGGTACTCGGTATCGGCAAGTACCAAAAATAAAAGTATCGGTATCGGGCGAGTACTGGAAAAAGTGGTATCGGTGCATCCCTAGTTTTTACCATATGTCTTCACTACATAGTGTATATGTGTTTATACATTAAATCTGTTCATCATATTAAGTGATTGTATCTGTTCTCAATTTGTGTTTCAAATGTTAACCAAAATGCAATGTCTTTGGAACAACATGAGGGTAAATAAATGATGACAATTTACAGTTTTTGGGTGAACTTTTCTCTTTAAGTTACATTTAGCATCAAAATCACATGCAGTGGTTCAAATGATTCAATTAATCTTTTTTGGAACCAGCTAATTTACATGTATCAATAACAATAACAAGTTCCACTTGCTAATACATTATTGCATTTAATAACATATTAGCATGAACTAAAAACATAAACCTTAATAAACAATAAAGAATTTGTATTAATAACCAATTAACAAATATTATTATATACTGTAAAAATGCATTGCTCATTGTTCATTAATACACTGATGTTACGTAATAGGACCTCATTGTTAAGTGCATAAAAAAAGATTTATGAAGTTGCAAATAAAAACAATTATTGTAGTACCATTTAAATTACCATTTCAGTTTTTCTACTTCAAAATTTCATGTTTAATTCCATGTTTCTTTGTAATAGTTTTTAATTTTACTAGCAATTCCTTAGTGAAAGTTGTTTCTACACCTATTTCCTTTCTTTTGTTTTTTACATTTAACATCAAAATGCAGAAATGCAAATGATTCAGTGAATCTTTTTTTTGTAAACAGTTCACTTCATGGTTCACTGAATGGTTTCTTTTTGTTAGTTCAATACTGGTACACTTCTGTGCATTTGTTTGTGTTAAAGGAGATTAAACATGTTCATTGCGTTAAGTGAGGATTCAGATTGTAAGTCAAAGTTTTTATGTTGACCGAAACACATGCTGCTGCTCCTGATTAAGATTTTAAAGGGGTCATATGATGCAATTTCAAGTTTTCCTTTCTCTCTGAAGTGTTACAAGCTGATTGTGCATAGATAAGATCCCTGAAGTTGCAAAGACTAAAGGCTTTAAGTTGCATTTAACAACAAAAGTGCATGCAGAGATGCAAATGACTCAGTGAATGGTTTTTTGGAAACAGTTCATTTGCATGTACCTTCTGAACAAACTAGCCTTAGATCAACTTTTATTTACTCACTCCCCAACATTGGTCCACTTCTGAGTATTTGTTTGTATATTTGTATGTTTCTCTCTGATTCAGTGGCTTTGAACCGACTGTGTTTGTGTAAGTACCCGCTGGTGGCCAGGCCTTGATGTAGCCGGTACAGTGCACAACGGAGTACTGCGCCTCCCCCTCCTTAGATGGCCCAAGACCATTCCTGTGAACGAAAAAGAGAGACAAAGAGAATGAAACAAACAAAACATGTCTGGTACTCATGTTTGGTACTTCAAAGTTGGCATTCGGTCATATGAGGATTACGGGCTGCAGGATCTGATTTGGAAAGCCGGCACAAACATCAGCAAAAATGTTCCCTTTAGCATTTCACATCAAAACACAAAAACAACATGACTCCATCTGCTCACATCAAGATGATTGCAGATCTGCTTTCCTAAAGCTTGTATTTCAATATCACTACTGTTCAAACGTTTGGGGTTGGTAAGCTTGAATGTTTTTGAAAGATGTTTCTTCTGCTCACCAAGGCTGCATTTATTTGATCAAAATTACAGTAAAAACAGTTACAATTTCAAATAACTCTTTTCAATTTAAATATTTTTTTAAATGCAATTTATTCCTGTGATGCAAAGATGAATTTTCAGCATCATTACTTGTATTCACTTAACATTTCTATGGAGTTGATTTTCCCCCCCAGATTCTTCAATGAACAGAAAGTTTAAGAGCTTTCATTTGAAACAGAGCTCTTTTGTAACTTTATAAATGTCTTTACTGACAGTTTTGATCAAATTAATGTATCCTAGCTGAATAAAAGTTATTTTCTTTCAAAACAATTTTACTGAAACCCCCCTGCCCCCCCCAAAAAAAAACAATAGAGTACATTAAATTTCAGCTTGGATTAAATAAATTTTAGCTTTTGTTCAACATTTCTATTTCGGATTTATATTCCTGTTTTAGGAATTAGATAAAAGTAATGTAATTTCTATGCCAATAACACCAACAAACAGAACTGTAAATCATGACTATTTTATATGTCGAAATGTAATGGATTGTAGCACTGACACATGAAAAGTAATATACTTGAAGAGCAAAATAACATTTCCAGAAATCTTCACAAATTAGTCTGCTGAATTTAAGAGATTTTAGAAAAGCAAGGGGAAACCAAATTTGCACAATATCCTTGGACTCTGAATCAGACTTTTTTTTTTTTACCTCATCCATTAATACGAAGCACTTCGTGCACCTTTCTCATAATGTTCTTCATGCGCTCTGTGCACAATCCCATCCCCTGTCAAATCAGTCAAGATTAGATTTAGATTTTCCAATTACTTTGCGTTAATTAATTCATTTCTGCTTATTTCAGTTTGCAAGCTCAACTGATAGCTATGCCATGGCATTTAGTTTGCAATCATTATTTAATTCTTGTTTATGAGCTCAACTGCGTGAGCAACACCAGGTCATGGGTTCGATTCCCAGGGTAAACACAAAGATCAAGCACATTCCTTTAATGCACTTAAAGTCATTTTGGATAAAAGGATCTCCCAAATGGAAATGAAAACCAATTTTATTTTGTTTTAGATTTAGTATCCAACAATATCCCTCATCCACATTGGCCCTTCTCACCTCTGTGTGTTTTGTGAACTGTACATTTGTCATTTTTGCATAAACATTTGACATGCATGCACCATTTATCAATCAGACATCTGCAATGCACTTTTCTCACAGATGTTCCTGGAAGAGGTGATTCCTGCATTCCAGAGCTGTCAAAACCCGCAAAACACACAGCGCTGCAAGTTTGTTGCAGACGAACAACACGCCTGCCGCAGAGAGGAGGGCATCGGGTTAAACATCAGGGGTCAAAGGGCAAATTACAGGAGGGAACACTGGCGCTACATTCTTAAGAACAAATTCTACGAATTTTCTTTAAGGAAACAAAATTCCTAGAAGTCATTCATGTAATGCCAAAAGTCCTAATTGACACAGAAAAGCGCCGCAAGACAACTAAGACTAGAGTTTATTTAAAGGGGTCCTATTATGCTCTTTTACAATGCCTTGAATTTGTTTTGGGGGTGTACTAGAACATGCTCTCATGCTTGGTGGTTCGCATTATTGTTTACATAATTTACATGATTACAATACCTTTCTCCCCAGCCTGGCACAAACGGCTCAATTAGTTCCGGGTTTGATGAAGGCCCGCCTTCCGAAAAATGAAATGTGATGTGATTGGTTAGCTGTCCCAGAGCATTGTGATTGGCGAACAGCTTAGATGGTGTTTCAGTACTGCCCCGCCCCTTGCCAAAGCAGCAAGTTCTGTCTGCTCTGTTTAGTTAAGGATGGCGTCAATATTGCCATATCAGTTTGAGCCGGATTCAGACCCAGAGAATATTGAACAAGAGGATCGCGCAGAACCTTTGCACGCACGGATATTGCAAAACATATTAGAGTGGTAACGTTATTGTTGTTTTTTTTGGGCTAAATCACGTTTTAGATAGGATGTCAACAACCGCTTAAAAATAACTGCATTTACTATGAACAGATACGTGCATATGTATTATGTTTATTGTGATTTAATTCTAACGTTATAACATGAATTGCAGCGAAACTGTTATACAGTTGAATTTATTTATACCATAGTCCAGTGTTTCCCAGGCGGCATATATATGCAAATTCATTCTCTGCCAGCAGGAGGCGCTGTTGGAGTGGTAGAGATCAAGGTTTCCCCGGTAATGGCTGTACACAAAGCAGCGCTCCGCTCAAAAAAGCACTGCTTTATCAGACATTACATGCAAGATTAAATGAAAATGACATCCAATTTTCTGAAGACAGTCGGTTTCCTTCAGTGATATAAAAACACCTGCACTCAATGTATGGGAAACACTGTAGTGTAGTAATTGAAGTGTAAATTCTGCAGATTACATCATTGTCAAGTATTGTACTGTCAGCAATTTATTATAAAAACGTTTTTATAATTGTAACATACATATTTACATACATGCACTGATGCACTCAACCAAGCATTCTAACCACGACCTCACCCCTCCCACCCCCCCTCCAACCATTCGAATTTCCTTAGGCAGGAATTATTTTAATGATATTCTAATGGGCCGCTTTGTGACATCACAAAACCCGGAAAACAAACGCTGTAGTCCAAACGAGCCGTTCGTTGTAGTTCTTGAAAATGGATTTTTTTTAAACGAAATATCTCCCTTTGGAGTGGACTTTGAGATTTGTAACTTTGAAGATCTTTTTTATGCCCAAGCATACACACTACACACTGACTTAAATTTGCTGCTATACTTTCATTGTTTCAAGACTTACCATTATACCAAGTTCAAAAACAAAAAAACATTCTAAAATGTGAAGCATGCAGTTGTTATTTAAGTAATAGTTTATTATAAAGTAATTCCTAATGTAATCAGGTTTATTCAGTCAGATTAAATACTTTTGACTTAAAACAAACTAGTTCATTTAGATGTTAGCACATCAAGCAGACTTTTAGATTACCTGACAAAACATGTTCACAGGGTACTTTTTTGTTTTGTTTTGTTTTAGTTTTTAATGGGTTTGATTGTAAGTGTACATTACAAATGAATTAGCAATTAATTACAGGATGTTTGGTTAATAGATTGGGGTTGAATAACTGCAGAATTGGGTGCAAATTTGAAATCTGAAAACGGAAAAAAAGATTCATACCTGTATCTCTTTCTCATGCTGGACAACCGATTCAGTGAGATATGATCCAGTGGAGCACTGCCACACCTAAAAAACATTTGAAAACCGTTACATTCTCACCATAAATGAATAAGACTACAAATACATGTACATTTTTGTTAAACATTAAAGTTAGTAAACCTCAAATTAATTACATTAGGTTATTTGTGATAATAAAATGATTACAATTATTAAAAGAGCAAAGAATATTCAGATTAAATGTATTTCAAGGGCTGCATTAACTGTAAAATGATGTAGCAAAAAACAACAACAACAACAAAAAAGGAAATACTGACAAATTATTTTTTTTGTTAAACATTTAACTTTGGAAACCTTGACTTTTATGGCACAAATAATCACTTAGGTTAATAAAAAAAGATTGCATTATTACAAAAACAATGCAAAAAAATGTAAAAGAGCAAAGATTCAATTAAAATAATTTGTACTCGGAGGCCGTGTTAACTAAAAATAAATTCATTTCAATTCAAGAAAATACTGACAATTAAAAAAAAAATGTAACTTTAGGCCTCAACAACTTAATTAATTTAAGTTATAGCATACAGTAAATTATCACTTATTTTAATAAAAAAAAGATTGTATCTTTTTTATGTTGATAATAATAAAAAACTATAATTTATTAAATTTTTGTGGCACAATCAGCAAAGATGATTCGGATTAAATAATATGCACTCAGAGGCTGCATAGCTAGAAAATACTAGAAACTAAACAAACAAACAAACAAATAAATAACTGACAATTCAAAATGTTGTCAGTCATTTTGACAGACAAATACAAGAATACTATTAAAAAACAATTCAAATTTTTTGTTAAACTTTAAACCTCAACAACTTAATTATTTTAAGTTATGGCACAAATTATCACAGATTTGATCATTTTTATGCTAATAAAAAAATCTTTTATAAAATGTTTGTGGCACAATCAGCAAAGTATTTGGATTGGATAATATGTACTCAGAGGTTGCATAGCTAGAAAATAGTTTAACAATAACTAACTAAAGAAACAAACACAAATAAATAAATAAATAATTGACCATTCAAAATGTTGTCAGTCATTTTGACAGAAAAATATAAGAATACTATTTTTTTTTTTACTCAAAACAAAAAGTGATTTTTACAACTAATAATAAAATAAATAATAATTATTCATAGCACAAGCACTGATGATATCTAATATTCTAGTTACCATGTTATGACTATATATAGCTGTTATCATTTGAATCCAGTTAGTAAAGACAGTAAAGACTATACGAGTGACCTGAAATCTCTGACCCTGTTGAGGGGTAAAATAGTTCACATCTGTTCCAACTTGAGCTGTTTATCTCCCAAAATCACTTCCATTCAACCTGGCAAGACAGTCTGTCGTCCCTCGGGTCTTTGTCAAATAGGTTGTCCAGTGTTCATGAATGCAAGGTATGCAAATGTACTTTTTTGGATCGCAACAAGCAAGTAAGCATCCTTCAGAGTTGAGTCATGATGTCTAATAGCGTTAATGCATTGTGTAAGAACTTTTAAGAATGACGCTCATGCTTTTTAGGGGTTCTGTTTATCTCAAGCGTTTTAACACACACTCAACAGATGCGCTCATCCGCTAGCATGCGGTTTCAATCTGTCAAAGAGCCACAAATAGAAAACATTAAACATGAACACAGTCGCTAACTCTCATATTTAAGTGCTGAAGGAAGCACAAAAACATATGCGGCGTAATCATGCATTATGTTGGAATTTGCTCGCCATGGTTTGTGCCTTAAACTGGCACGGACATTCGAATCAAATTCGGGAAGTGCGTGTTTTCATCTGGTGTTAAATATAGACCAAACAACATTATGAATGAAAACACCTTTTAAACATACTGCGGGGAAGGACAGGAATGTTCAGCAACAACAATCATCAAGTTTCTGTTCGCCTCATTGCTAAAAAATCTAATTATTAGTGTTGCATTTTGTTGTCTTGAAAGTTCATGCAGGCTTTAAAAATCAAACAGTAAAATTATATTGTTATGGTCCGAATAAAAGACTAAATATTTCATAAAAGGATCATATAATGAAGACAGAAAGATGCAGAGACTGACAGGGATTTCTACACTTTTGTGCAATTAGTTAATAAACATATGTGTGAAGGTGTGGTGTGTGGAGGTGTGAATTTATTTATAAGTAGTGATAATGTCAATCAGCTCACCTAAATACGAACCTTTTTAAACATCATACAGTGCAATACATTTTTTGAGAGTGACATAAGATCTCAAAATCGGATTAAATCGGACCTGAATGGCCTCCATATGCAAAGACTATGGTATGCCAATATCTAAAAAATGGACATGCTGATGGCACAAGGCTTGTTTTTCAACCTTTTGCAACCTTTCATTATCAGTCCTGGTCGTTAAAGGTCCCCTGAAGTGCCTTGAAACATGCAGCGTTATTCTATGTGGTGACGTAATTTCAACTGAAACAGGAAGACAGGGCGGGACATATCAAGCAGCCCCGCCCCCTTTTTAAATGAGCCAATAGCGTTTTGTTTATATCTGCACAGGACAGAGCCGTCGAGCTCGGTAAAGCCGCATTTGACAGTTACAGTCTTATAGATTACCCCCTAGATTCAATATGAAACTCTTAGTAAAACAAAATAGTGATCATAATCATGCTGAGGCTGTGTAGTTTTAAAAGCGTTTAATATATGCCGACTTGTGCATATAATCCGCTCTGAGCGATCACGTCTCTGGACCGGAGCCAAAGTCTGGATCAGACTGTGCGCGCTGCCGCGGTTCGCGTGACACAACGTGAAACCAGACCTCATTTGCCCCAATCGAAAGCATATTTACACTATCTGAATCGTTCCCTATCGCCTACATTGTACACTACGTGCCATTTATGTACAGGAAATACTACACTGTGAACAAGCGAACGATCTCAGCCGCAGCTTTAGCATCTATTTATAGTGTAGGGGGCGGGTGCTTCGGCTTCTAGAGAGCGTTTGATTGGTCAGAAGATTTGATGAGAAGATGAAGTATGATGTGACATCAAAAAAATCGTTGAGCCGTTTTCGAGGAAGTGACGGACTAAAAGCTTTGAATGCTTATATCTTCTAAATGCACATTTTGTCACTGTTTTGGAGCACACTGCCTTATAGATAACCTTAAGACTAACATATTGATACTAACACCCAAAAAAAAAACTTTAATTTTGATTTCATGGGGACTTTAATCACCACACCACACCTGTGATCATGAGATCAGTAATCTCACGGAGAGCATGGACTGTACCTCATTCTGCAGATGAAGGAACGTCTGGAGCCCATACACATTCTCATAGAGGACTGCTGTCCTTCCTTCTTCACCGTCCCCGTCTTCAGGTCCAGAATACGCCCTGGACATTATCACATACACAAACACACACACACACACAGACAGGAAAGAGGAAAGAAGTTAAATTAGGTATTGGCATTTTAAGTTAATTTGTGTAGAGTACTCTAACAAAATTCCTTACATGACATTTAAAGCAGACATTACACACACAGTTTCTGCCAATCTCATGTTAATCTTGAGTACCTACAGGAGTAGTATTGCATCCTTCATATCTCCGAGTTTTATCAGATTTATAAAATACAGCTACAGCTTTACACTTTTCTCCGAAAACAGTCGAGCTGCTGGAGACGTGCCGTGGGTGGAGCTTTAGAGTCACGCGCACGAGTGATCGTCTGTGACATCGATATAAATAAAACAGGGACTAAAACTTTATTGACTTTGATTAACTATAGCTAAAAATGTTAAAAATGACAAATGCTAGATCATAGGATGTTTTTGAAAGAAGTCTCTTATGCTCACCAAGGCTGCCTTTATTTGATGAAAAATACATTATATATAATGAAATGTTATTTCAATTTCAAATAATTGTTCTCGGTTTCATAGAAAAAAGCAAGAGGATTTAGATTAAATAAAATGTATTCAAGGGCTGCATTAACCAGAAAATAATGTGACAAAAAAATTTGTTAAACATTAAACTTTGGAAACCTCAACTTAATTATAAGTTCTGGCACAAATTATCACTTGGGTTGATAAATAAAAGATTGCATTATTACAACAAAATGATAATAAGTTTAAAAGAGCAAAGATTCAGATAAAATAATATGTACATATATTTATTTATTTATTTTTAAAGAAGAATATTTTTGCTTTTAAAGAAAAGACTGACAATGAATATTTTTGTTAAACTTTTAACTTTATATATAAAAAAAACGTACTTACAGGCTGTGAGTCAGAACAGCCGCCATTGTAGTCTACTCTACCAGGATCAGTAAACAGTCCTCCATAAAATGTGCTGCACACATCTGAATATTTGGGTTGAACTGCTCTGGAACAGTGTTGTAAATACAATTTAACCACTGATTTCTAGTCGTGTCCTTTTTTGGAAGACCAAACAAAGTAGTTTCGCTTTCAGGCCGGCGGGGCTAGAGTGAGCAGCGGCCGGCGGATTCGACGAAGGAGCGACCGGCGGGCTTGTGGCAACCACATGTGACGACCCCGAGCTGGACTTCGTCTACGGTGAAAGCCGATCCGGCGATACACAGCGCGAAGTTGATGTATTTCCTCAGCGACCATCACGGATCAGCTCTAGGAATGACGAAGCGGATATCGTCCTCTTTTGGAAGGCCAAACAAAGTAGTTTCACTTTCACAACGAAACACACAGCACCTTCACGACATGGCGGCAGCAACAATACTACATCGAGAATAAAAGTTATGCCTTCTTTCTTTGCGTGAACATTTGGGCGGTGTTATGCAAATCTTCCCACATCGTGATGTAGACATGTGGGGGCGTGTTAGAACGAGCCGTTTTAGGTAGGCGTGGCTGACTCTTAACTTTTATAAAGAATATCTCTTTGGATTTGAGACTTTAGTCTTTGCAACTTTACAGATCTTCTTTATGCACCAAGAGCTTGTTACACTCCAAAGAGAAAGGAAAAATTTAAAAAGCATCAAATATTTTATCATTTTTATGTTGATAATGATGAAAAGATGAAATATTAAAATGTTTTAAAATGTTTTTTTAAAAGCTGAATTTTCAGCAGACATTTCTCCAGTTTTGCATGATCCTTCAGAAATCATTACATTACACCAACATATGAAATAGAAATATATTAAAAGAGAAAACAATTTTTTTATTTTTATATTTCACAAAATCACTTTAAAAATTATATATAGGCTATATACCTCAAACAGGAATGTTTCCATTTGTATCACTCCGCTTGCAGTATTGCTCACAGCGAGTGTCATGGCAGACTCCCAAATCCACTATAACTTTTAAAATACAGTTTTAAAAACTGTTTTTGTGTCACAGAATATAGTTTTAAGAGTTTTTTTAAGGTGAGAATGTAGTTGTTTAGACTTCAAACATGCGGTTTGTTAATAACAATAACTCCTATTTGAAAATTTGCTTCAACTTTTTTGGAGATGTGAGCTCCAGGACGTCAGCGGACGTTCACTGCGCATTAACCCGCCAAGAGCAGCCTTACCTCGGCCAGATCTTCTGGAATTTGCCGCTGGTTCTGTGGCCTTGTACCTATGACTAAATCACAACCATGCTGATATAGAGCAATATCAAACGGCTTCTCATCTTCACTTGTTTACAAGAGACTTGGTAATAAAGCGTAAACCAAATGTTTTTTTTTATCATATAAAATTACTTTTAACTATTAAGGTGCATCATCCACTGGGATGTATGAATATATCAAGTGGCAAACATACCAAAAAGAAATAAACTATTTCCACCACCTTTGGATGCACCAGCTATTAAGCTATTACCCTCATATCACTTCAACCTCACATATCCACAGCAGCACCCAGTGCATTCATTTGACTAGATTTATGGGAGTGATTTAGCATGGCTAATTTTATTGTGTCTTTGCCTGCTGTAGAGAACAAATGTGCATTGTCTAAATTATGTTTTCACTAGTTTAGTCGATTACTCGTACACATCTCTAATTTGAATCATGACCATAATGGCCTTAAGTTACAAAATGCATTTCTGAGATGCCGCAGTAACAGTTTGCAGAAGTGCCTTTCAGGGGCCGTTCAATCCTAATAAATCCCATAACAAACAACAAGCGTGCCCACAAACACATACAGTTGCACAGTTATGACCATCTCGCTCAACATCTGCTCGATTACAAGGCACAGAAGACCGGCTAAAATAATCCAATCACAACCATTTTAAAGTTGTTTTTCCCCATCCAGCACAGCAAGAATAAGGGAGGAACACAATCAGAAGAAGCCAAAAAATGTTATTGGCTTAACAAAACACCCACAACAATAGTCAAATAGTGAGTTATACTTCTTGGAATGCTGATACCTATAGGACGAAAGCTTGGGATTATTGAAGCCTGAAGTTATTTCCATAAACAAATTAGCTGACATGCCTTTCAGCCGAGAAGAAGCAGTCTCCGAACTGATCCAGTGACAGCTGCTAAAGCCCCCAGGAGCAGATCTAATTGTCGAGAAGTCATTCCACTCTGAAGGACAGACGCCAAGAACGTTGGAAGCATTTAAAAGCTATTAATACTCCTCTCGAAGACGGAAAACAACATGACCGCTCAAGAACATCAAGAAAGAGGCCCTTGGTAGTTGTTGTTCAACAAACAATTGGGTGAAAAACCATATGGAGATGATAAAGAAGCCGGACTATGATTGTAAATCATCCAGATGGCGACCCACTGCCCTACCAACAACCCAATAATACCGAAAAGGTCAGTCGTGCTGTAATATAGGCCTTTCAACAAGGCAAAACCTTGCTGGAAATGGAAAATTATTTCAACCGCAAAAAGCTTTTTGAGGCCAATATAATAACAGTTTAGTGATGTCAAATTAGACAGGAATTTTTTCAGACTTCAACCGCAATCACCTCCAAAATGACTCTGACCTCTCGGCCTCTCCAACGCTGAACTTTTTTTTTACTTTCTGACTTCTTCCAGCTTTTGTGCATCTCTGAGGTGATGTAGCATGACATGAAATTGTGATAAAGTGCTAAAACTCAGAATAATTCAAGACAAAATCTTACGCCATGAGTATAAAGACAATCATATGGAGATCTAAAGGTGGGATGTCATCAGATGGGTAGATGGAAACAGATGCTACCAAAACGAGGGCAACAATAAACCAAAACAAACAACCATTTGCAATAGGCAACAGATTTCATCTTTCTAATTCAGTTGACTTCATGGTTCGAACTTGGTGGAGGACAAAAAAATCCACTGACCAGTTGCATGGAAACTCTTTTAATCACATATCAATCTTCTTGTTTGCACTGGTATGAGTAAGTGCTGGTCATATATGCATGATGGTTTGAGTTCTGGCACTGAATACTTCAAGATAACAGAGGAATGTAAAGAAACATTTTACACCATATATATAAGACAACAGAGGTGGGCCGTCATCAGATGGACATGTGAAACCCAGTTTTGTGTAGCAAGGCCTTCAGACTGACAGCAGAAGTTCTGGACTCCATCGCAGCTTTCATTGGCCAAAGACTGGCCAAAAGGCCATCTGACAGACATACAAAGCAACCAATCACAGTTTGTTTTGTTCAGTGTCTTGTTAAGGGGCATGAAAAAAAAAAGTCGATGTCTGTATAATAACAGACCGGCGTGCAAACAATAAACCATTCATTCAAGAATGTCGTGCAAGATTCCTGCAACAATAGCACATGCCTATGCAACAGCCTATGTTTTCACATACTTTTGAAAATCAAGCATTTAGTTGATCTTGATACGCAGTCAATGTCACAGTTGTAGACTCAACAGCTTTCTTTTTCAAGTGGTGGTTTGGCTTCATGACGCCTTTGTTTCCAGGAAGACGGTTAAAGAAAATGACACACACATAAGTCTCCAAGAAATCCTGTAGAATTCAATCAGATGATGACTTCTAAACTCCCGAAGTGTTTCCCATTTTTGTGCCTTATGCATCAGACGCTCAGACAACCGTCTGTGATGTCTAAGTCTGAGACTAAGCGGAACCAGACGCTTCAAAGACGAGGACAACAATAAACCAAAACAAACAACCATTTGCAATAGGCAGCAGAATTCAACTTTTGAATTCCACTGACCTCATGGTTTGAACTTGTTAGAGGACACATTAAAAGCCACTGACCAGTTTTACGGTAACGCTCTTTGATCGTGCCTCAATCAATATTCTTGTTTGCTCTGGTATAATTAAGTGCTAGTCATCTATGGATGATGGTTTGCTGTTTTGAAGACCTGCGTGGGTTTGGATGACCGTTCCTCAGCCTCCTGCTTCCCAAAGCAGAGCTCAGCAGGAGGGGTATGCTTTGGACCACTTTCCCTGGATGCTTCCTCAATGGAGACCTTCGGTTGAT